AAGCCAACATGCCTGACCAAAATAAGGATTTTCTAGATCAATCCCTGCAGATGGATTCCTTAATATGTTGCCTTCTAGTGTAATCTTCCCTAAAGTTTCTTAGAAGATTCTCTTTTGGAGCTGGAGGACAGAACCCACGTGCATATTGAAGGCTCAAGGAAGTTGTATGGAAAGGAAATCTGTCTTATTCTGCCACGCTGATTTTCCAGACTTTTTTTCCATTATTAAGGAATTTATTGGTGGGGGGGGGGCAGTGTTGCTCTGTCACTCGGAGTGGAGTGCAGTGGCCTGATCTCGGCTCACTGCAACCTCTGCCTCCTGGGTTCAAGTGATTCTCCTGCCTCAGCCTCTGGAGTAGCTGGGACTAGAGGTGTATGCCACCATGCCCGGCTAATTTTTGTATTTTTACAAAATACAAAGGAGACTGGGTTTCACCATGTTGGCCAGGCTGGTCTTGAACTCCTGATCTCAAGTGAAGTGCTCACCTTGGCCCCCCAAAGTGCTGGGATTACAGGCGTGAGCCACTGCACCCGGCCTTTTTCTCCATTATTAACATCACCAGAAATAGTGATTCCAAGGAGCTCTGAAACCCCACCTTCACCAGTCCTGGCCAGAAGTCCTTATGTCTCACCCCTTCTCCATCTATGTCAGCGTGACATAGGCATCACATGCCACCACTCTCCTCTCTTTGACAGGACCCTGTTGTCTTCAGGTTCCTTCTGCATGAAGCTGGACCCGTTCAGCCAGTACTCAGATGAAGTCCGGACGTCCCTGGAGCTGGCTCACCTGAAGGACTGCGTGTCGGCCCTTCCCGATAGGCTGGACCACGAGTGCGCAGAAGGTGGACAGAACCTCAGGTAGGCGGGGGTAGACTGAGGAACACCAGGTAAGGTCTGCTAGGCGCCACCTCAGTAGGGGTGTTTGAATATTCTGTCCAGATCTGTGTCAGACCTGGATTTGAGTCCCAGTTGTGCTGCAGATGTCCCATTTGTCCCTTCAGCTTTTGGAGCCTCAGTTTCTGTATCTGTAAAACGGGTCTTAATCCAGGCTCTTTGTACCATGAGGTATAATAACCAGGATGGACAATGCATTTCCTTTTATACACACCAGCTCCATTCAGTTGACAGTGGCCATCAGTTGTTAAGCTATAGAAAGGCTTCTGTACCGGTTGGTCACTAGCACTGCTCTGAGCCCCACGTCCCCAGCTGTCTTGGTCCTTCTCCCAGGATACTGGAGATCTGTCCATGACCCCGCAACTAGAGCATTAATGCCTGGCACAGCAGGGGAACCTCTGGGGTCCCATTCTGGTGTTGTCAGTGCCTGGTTCTGGTTTGGTTATCCGTCTCCATGACAACCAACCACAGAGCCTCAGTCACATTCAACCGTAAAGCAGTGATCTCTGCTCCCTGGCAAGGGCAGTCGGGCAGTTGTCTGGGCTCACATCATGTCTCGGGATCAGCTGGCTGTCGGCTCATCTACTTGGCCTCAGGTGGCGCAAGAAGGGTACGTGTGCATTCCTCATTCTCCAGCAGACCAGCTTGGGCATGTTGTCATGGCGATCACAGGGGCACAAGAGCACACAAACTCCCATGTGCATCTCGCAGTAGTCTTCCGGCTGGCCTCATGTTTGCTAGCGTCCCATTGGCCAAAACAAGGTACACGTCTGAGTGCAGAGGCAACTGTCATGGCCCCACAGTTGGATAGGGATGCATGAATATGAGATCTTTTTATGTTTTTGAGGCAGGGTCTCACTCTGTCACCCAGGCTGAAGTGCAGTGGCACAATCTCAGCTGTAACCTCCACCCCCAGGCTCAAGCAATTGTCCTGCCTCTGCCTCCCAAGTAGCTAGGATGTCATGTGCCCACCACCATGCCCAGCTAATTTTTGCATTTTTAATAGAGACAGAGCATCAACACATTGGCCAGGCTGGTCTTGAACTCCTGGCCTCAAATGATCCACCCGCCTTGGCCTCCCAGAGTGCTGGGCTATAGGTGTGAGCCACTGTGCCTGGCTTTTTTTTTTTGAGAGACAGGGTCTCATTCTGTTGCCTAGGCTGGAGTACAGTGGCTCGAGCTCAGCCTTGAACTCATGGACTTGAGCAATCCTCCTGCCTCAGCCTCTGAAGTAACAGACTACAGAAGTGTGCCACCACATCCAGCTAATTTTTTTATTTTTGTTTTTTTGGAGAGAGAGAGGTCTTGCTTTGTTGCCCAGGCTGGTCTCCAACTCCTGGCTGCAAGCAATCCTCCCACCTTGGCCACCCACAGTGCTGGGTTTGTAGGTGTGAGCCAGTTTTAAGAATGATTATGAACCTGCATCTTGCTGAGTAGGAGATGTGTTCAGATTGATCAGTGATGTCTGCTGCAAGCACAGATGTTGGGAGTGAACGGGCTCTCCTAGTCAAGGAACACAGAGTCTCTCGTCGCACTTCTCCCAGCCTGCGCCTAGGTTCAGGGTCGGGGTGGTTTGACCCAACACTGTCTCCTGGTCTTTTAGGCAGCGCCAGCTTGTGTGCCTGGCTCGGGCCCTGCTGAGCAAGATGAATATCCTTGTGTTGGATGAGGCTACGGCGGCCGTGGACCTGGAAATGGGCGACCTCATTCAGTCCACCATCCAGATGCAGTTCAAAGGCTGCACTGTCCTCACCATTGCCCACCGGCTCATCATCATCATGGACTACACAAGGTGATGTCCCTGGCACGATGGCACTTTGGGAGTTTGCCTTACTCACTGGCTTATTAAGTCATTCATTCAACACTGTCCCTATTCCCAGTGACAGACCCAGTGGGTGGATCGTCTCTTCATCCTGGATGATACCAGATATTTCTTTTTTGTTTTGTTTTTTGTTTCTGGAGACGGAGTCTTGCTCCATCACCTAGGCTGGACTGCAGTGGTGCAGTCTTGGCTCACTGCAACCTCTAC